CGAGTGAATGACCCAGATGTGGGCTTACAAATGTCAGCCTTAGTGGTTCCTGAGGTGTCAGGTGCCTTGGGTATGCATTAAAGAAATATTCAGATGAAGTTAATCTCTATAAAGTAATTCAAACCCTAATCCTGGCTGAAGTTGAAAATTGAAAAATCCAACTAGATAAAAACTATGAAATGTACTCTATTTAAACACTTATTGGTTTAAAAAAAACAGGCTTTGTGCCCTCCTGGTATTTTCATTGGATGGTAAGGGGACTGACAAACAAAAACATGAAAAATAAGTAAATTATAGATTATGTTAAAAGCTATGAAAAAATTAAAGTAGGATAAGATAAAAGGGATCCAAGAGCAGGGGTGGGGTTGGTTTGCAATTTCCAATAAGCTAGTCTGAGTAGTCCTCACTGAAGAGGTGATGTTTGAGTGGACTGGAGGGGATGGAGGAGTGTGACCTGGCTGGGGGTGGGAGGAGGCGGGGAGCTCTCCTCGCGCAGCCTAGAGGTAGAAGAAGAGCAAAGGCGAGAGGGTGCCTGTGTATTTTGGGCAACCAGGAGGCTGACGTGGCGGGAGCCCAAGAAGCCCGGGGAGAGTGGAAGGGAAGGGAAGGTCAGGGAGGGTCAGATCCGGTAAGAGGATGTGGCTCCGACCAAGCTGGGAGCAGAAAGAAGGGGAGAGCTTGTCAGATTGTGAATATACTTGGAAGGCAGACCCGAAAGAACTTTGCTGACAGAAAAGAAACAGAATAAAGAATAAACCCGCAGTTTGAGGTCCAAGCAGTTGGAAGGTTGGAGTTGCCATCAGCTGGGTGGGGCACATTTGGGAAGAAGACAAGGAGGTCATTTTGAGCCGTTAGAAGCACGCCGTCCAAGTGGAGGTGCTGAGCGGACATCGGGAATGGAACAATCTGGAGACCTGGAGAAGAAACTGGGGTGTTGTCAGCAGACGGGCACCCTAAGTATCAAGATAGTGAATGAGCAAAGAGTGCAGATTCAGGAAGAGGAGGACCAGAGGAGGAACCCTGCAGTGCACCCCTCCACCCCCCAACCCCAAGGCTCTGGAGAGAAAAGAAAGGATCAGCAAACAAAACAAGCAGGGATGAAGCAGGAGAAAAACAAGAGCTCAGTGCCATCCGTGTTTAAACAACTCACTTTGAAGATTTCAGAAGGCTACTAAAGCATCGCATTCATTTTCTTTCTCATTAAGAAAGAAAACCACATTCTAGCTCTTGAAAGGGAGAAGGAAAGCGAGGAAGGGAGGGCAGGAAGGAAAGAAATGTAGTAAGGGAGAATGGAAGAGAGGCAGAGAGGAGGCACAAAGCCAGGACTAGAGCACAGTAACCCTTTAGGTACATCAGCTTTATTGTTGTTGTTGTTTAAGATTTATTTATTTTAAAGAGAGAGAGCGTGAGCGAGCGTGCAAGGGGGGGATGGGGCCGAGGGAGAGGGTGAGTCTCCAGCAGACTCTACCCTGAGCATGGAGCCACACTCGGGGCTGGATCCCACCACCGAGATCATGACCTGAGCCCAATCGAGAGTGAGACACTCAACCGACTGAGCCACTCAGGTGCCCCTAGGCACAAAAGCTTGAAATCTTGTAACCCAACTTTTTGAAAACATCAGACTTGATTCTACTTTAAAACTCATCTGAATTATTTTAAGTCATTTATAACATTTTATTATATCCTGCTCTTTCTCTCTTAGAAGGAGAGAGGAAATCAAAAAAGAGGTTGTTCTAGATGCTTCCACCTCTTTAATAATAACAATTCTGAGATACGTGAATTATTAGCTTCATTCCCCACAGAGGAGACTGTGGGTCTGAAAAACAACTTAAGCTGCAAAACTGTTGAGAATAGGTACTAGGATAGGGCACTGCCTCTTCACAGTCAACTGGAGACAGGCTGAATTATAATTTTTCTTCTTAACTCTTCCTTAAGCTGAGGGAGGGTCCCGAGGAACGCTCAGTCCAAAGCTGTCACTGAGCCTCCCAGAATTCCTTTCGTCTCTGCTGTTTTATGTTAAAATGGGATTATGCCTGTTAATGGATAGTGAATAAATTATAGTTCTCTCTTTAATTAATCATTGCTCTGCACTATTTATTAGTGTTAATGGATTATTTTTGTAATTATTTCTCCATATGTGAAGGTAACACTTTAAACCTTTTAAAATGTCATTGAAGAAGCTACTTCTAGATTCTTCTGGGACAGTTTTACTAGCAGAGCATGGTGTTTTTTAAAAATAGGCTTTGCTTTCAGGACAAAATTCCATCGGAAATGTCATACTCAGATGAAGATTATGAAGAAGTGTGTTAAGAGAAGTCAAAAGGTCATCTCACATAAAGTATGCTGGCCAATAAATTGATGTTCAGTTCATACAGTCTTTCTAGGACATTCTAGGACATGAAAACAAGAGGTGGTGCAATACCAGGGTGAAAACGCAAGTTGTGGAGGCATGCAGACCTGGCTTCCCACCCTGGCTCCACTATGTCCTTGGCAACAGTGGATAGGCAGCTTTTGAAATCACCTGTCCCCCATTGCATGTTTCAGCCTTCATTTCTGTCTCTGACTCAACATGCCAGTCCTGGGGGCATGCTCATCCCAAGAAACACTGTCACACCTCTCTCCACGGGACCTGTGTCACCTCCCCCTGCCTACCCCTGTCCTCTGCATGCATGGATGCAAAGAAAGACTCCACACCTTCCCAGCGAGCAACCACAGCAACCACAATGTGCCACAAGTCCTGTGACAGTCCTGTGACGGTGGGATACTCGGGCACCGTGTGAGCATAGAAGGATTTGTAAGCACACTGGCACAGCAGATCAAGAAGGGCTTCCTGGAAGAAGTGTGGCTTGGGTTGATCCTTAAATTTGACCAGGGAAAGAACTCCGGGTGGTCAGGAGAAGGAGGTGCAAGGTACAGGGAGTAACTGCCGAGCAAATGCACCTTTCACTTAACCTCTTCCTATCAATTATGTTCAACATCTTTCCCGATATCCTCTGTGGCAGAGGCTGTTAGGTGCCTACCCAATATCCACAACCCTCCTTGTCTCTGGAATTAATAGAACAGCTAGAAACACTTACTAATCTCCCTTGCATTCAGGTGTAGGGCTTGAAGGAGCCTCCACAAAAGAAAAGGAGTATGCCATTCTTTACTCCTCCTTCCATCTCGATGTCTGGAAGGTGGGTGTGATGGTGAGAGCTCTAGCAATCTTTTTGGACCATGAGAAAGAAGGAACATGGGAACACCAGGAAAAGTGAAGCTGGGAGTGTGTGAGTCCCTGACAACTTCATGAAGCCAGTTTACCTCAGCAATTTCTTTCTTGTAAGAAACAGGTAAATTTTTACCTTGTCTGCATCATAATTACTCCCCCCCCCCATTATATGCAGCCAATCCTAAGTGATCCACCTTTCAAGACCATTCCAGCTCACAAATAATTATCATTTCCTTCTCCAAATTCATAGCACATGTTTGTACCGCTCACTAAACAAATAAATCTCTGCCTGGAGACAACCACTGTATGACTATTTCACTTTTCCTGGACTTATATTAAACCTTTCTAACAAGTTATACGCTCCTTGAGGGGAGAACGCCAAGTCATGTATTTTCCCTTGTCACCTCAGTTCCTAGCAAATTATCTGACATACAGTACATGTTTAATAAATGTTTACTGTCTCATTGTGCCATGATGGGCCTTTAGAAAGAATGTAGGGACTTTTAAATCTTTATTTAAACCTTTATAGAAAGGGAAATAACAGTAAAGGAAAAGATCTCCTCTAAGAAAAATTTTAAAAAGACAAAAACTCAACTGATGGAGTGATGGCTCTCAGATGCTATAATATGACAACATACAGAGTCAAGATAACTCATACTCCTTCTTGGAAAGAGAAGTTGCTCGCGCAGAAACCGCCTTCTGGCAGAAGCCAATCCATTTGTGGGCGGAGCCTCTCACTCTGGAGTTTGTCACCTATGATGACGGTGGACCCCTAAAAACACAACCTCATGCGTGTAGAAGTTACTTGTGCTAAAAGTCAGTTATCTTACACATGCGTTCCTTCCAAGTCTTTATCCCAAACACAGAACTCATTTACATTTGCATAAATAATGTGTTTTGCTTTGTATGGAGCCTCTAATTTTTCTTTAAAAACCTTCAGAACTCTGTGCTTTGGGGCTGTCTGCTTTTCTGCAAATATCCAGTATTCACAAACTGTCCTTAAAACCTCTCTACATGGTCTGTGAGCTGTTAACTAAAAAAAAAAAGGCAAGTGAAACTAAGGAAGAAAGGAAAGAAAAATCACATCTGTATGTCAACCAAATGCAAAACACACACACACACACACACAACTGCGCACACAAAAGACAATTTACAGTATCAAAAGAAAATAAAATCACTTTTTAATTGACTTTGTCTTTGCCAGTTCTAAAGCTAAGCACTTGCTCCTTCCTTATTAACTTGAGTCTTTTGAGCAATTTTTTCCATTGTAAGCACTTTCTAAAAAATCATTTTCACACATTTCTCAGATACATCAATCCTTCCGGCATTCCTCTATGCACACATTATGGTACCCCAGCTCTAAATATAAAAGACTTTTATTATGTCCATTAACCATGGACATATGTGCTCCAAAAGACTCCTGACACGCAGTCATTTGTGGGTTTTTAATTATAAACAGAAAATATTCACTAGAAAAATAAAGAAGCAAGCCCATAAATTTGAGTTTTGTTTGTATACGACAAAATGTTTGGCGCAATGGCTTTCCCCGTTGCCAGCTCCAGAATGTGAGCATGCGTGCGTTTCTAAACACACAGAGATGTACACGCATTCACATGTACAATTAACTCCATACCTAGTACAGGGCTCAAACATCTGTAATTGCAGGTGCTGCTCCCTTACTTCTAAAATAAGAGAGTGGGTTTTTCTGACGCTCACCAGGTCTCACTCCACATGAAAAGTTAAATGGGAAAGAAGGCAATGCCCAGTAAAATACTTGACAAATGAAGTCGTATTTATTGAATGCGTTTTATTTTAACAACCAAAAAATTCTAACAGCCTAACAATGCACATAAGTTAAAAATTAATTATCACTTAGTGATAACAAAGATAGTTGATTTACATGGAAAAAAGAACATTTACAATATGTTAATCCTTATTCACATTGTTGATACCGCAATAAAACACAATTTGTTTTTTCATTTCACAAAAAAAAAAAAAAAGGCGGGAAATTGTGCTTTGTCAAGAGGCACTACAAGAGAAAGTTTCTTCTTCCAAATAGATATTATATGACAGATATTGAATAAATAGACATATATGCATTGTAATTCGCAAAGATCTGGCAAGACCACAGGCTAAAATGCCCACAGATTCACTTAGAATCACTGCAAACTTGGCAGTGAAATTAAAAAATAAAAGGCAAGACTTAGCATTGAAAAATACCTAATAAATTTTTGGTTGAAGTGTAAAAGATACCAAATGCGGATGCCATCGATAGATGAACCACCTTGTAAGAGCTTGGCAAAATCAGTTTCCATTACATGTACAGAGTGACCTTCAGCAACAGTGTAAGAAGACAACTTGGAAAGAGTAACTCGGAGATCAGGAAGCAGCAAGCGTGGACTTTCGGATTAAAGCTGCAGCATACTACAGAAGCAGAAGGACGGGCCCAGGGCTTAACTGCAAACCACCATCCTTTTGCAAAGGTATGTGACGCTCGTGTCAAGAGAATTTTTTCAACATCATTACTGGAAAAAGTACAGGAAAGTGTCCCTTTAAAAACTCCAGAGGTTACTGAGCAGCTAGAATTAGCTTGTATTGCAACATGTCTTCTCCCTGTATATTGTAAGTTCTGAGTTAATATCTACACATAGAGGTTTTTTTTTTTAACTCCTACCTTTTATACCTTTCAAATATATAAATAGTATTAACAGTTATATTACAATGTTTGTGTAGTAAACAGAAAATAACTTTCAAAGTGATATTGCATGAGGTCTTTGACAAGGTTGCATGAGAGCACGACTCCAAAAAAAATCCAACCGTGTGGGACTGTTTGATGGCCACGTTGAAGCAGGGATTAGGTCCTGAAGGTGAGGTCACCTCTTGCAATTACTCTAAGTAGAAGTGGGAAGTAATGCTACTGGTGCTTCTGAGAGGAAGCTACAGGAGGTTTGGAGAGCTATAGTAGATTGCAGCTTTAATGCTCATTCCACTAAACAGCCAGTCGGCATTAGTTCTGCTTTACGTAAGGTAATTGCTATGTAGGTAACTGAGAAGATGTTTCCATTTATGATGAGTATGTGATTCCACTGAAATCGCTTCGCTTACTCTATTGCCTGGAGCTGCACAATGATTCAAAAACAGGTTCTTGTTCAGGCTGCCATACCAGGGAAAGGATGAGGCATGAGAGCAGGGACCACAAACGCTGGGTTAGGTGGATGGAATGTGTACGAAGAAGAGGAAGCCCCAAGTGAAACAGAAATAAGAAACATCTTTTGGGAGATGGAAGGATGGAGATTTATTTGGGAGGGAACCCCTTTAACTGGGCAGCAACTTCTAACTTAACATTACATTGAACTATTTTCTATTTAAAAAAAAAAAAGAAAGAAAAAAAGAGAAAACAGCAACAACAAACAACTTTTAAATGAGCAGGCTTATTAATTTTAAGATTTGAAGCCACGAACAGGTAAGTAAGTTTCACAATAAAACGTGGCTCAAACTATGAATTCCATACGTCCAACGTCAAAATGTCATTTTATCAAGACTGCACTTAAAGGACAAGTTTTCTCTGTACTGAATTACAGTTTTATTCATTTGGAATTCCACAGAAATGCATCTGTTCACTACAGGAATGACAAGTTGAATAACGGAACATATCGAGTCATTTTAAGTGTGCATTGTGTCTTAAGAGCAATTTGACTTGTATCATTTTAAGGTGCCCTGATTTTTTTTTCCACTTTACTTTCTTCTTTCTTTTTGGCAGTGTTGATTTATTTTGTTAAATACATACCTCAAAAATTACCCATCAAGCTGCCAGATAGGAAGCCATAGAATTAAAAAAAAAAAAAAAAAAAATCAGGGACAAACACAGAAAATAAATAGGAATTCAAAAATAGTCACCCCACCCTGAGAGCAGGCCGCAGTTTATCAAAAAGCCAAAGCGACTCACTGTGAAGTGGTTTTTTTTTTTTTAATACATAAACAAGTCTCTTCTTTAAGAACTCATTTCACAGTCTATTCTTTCGGATTGTAAAGTTCTCTGTCCCATGCAATTTAATATATATATGTAAATATATAGATATATACATATACATATACACACACACTTGTAACTTCCTTCATTTGTTTTGTAGATCTTTTCATCCTGGAACTTGCCTGATGTCTCTTCCATAAGTGCAAGGATAATGAAGGCAGAGTCTCCTGTGATTATAATTACTATGATCCAGTCAATTGCAAAAGTGTAACACTTTAGTGTCTTTGCCAAGGCGATGTCTGATTCGGAAATACTGAACTTATTCAGTCTATAGGTGTATCCTGTGCAACAAAGAAACGTCAAAAAAGGTAAGAAAAACAAAACAGACCAAAAAAAAAGATAAAAATAAAATAAAGCAAAAAAAAAATGTTTTTAAAGAAATTAAAACAGAAAATCCTTGGACCGATATATTGCTTTGCCTGGTAGGAGTTCACATTATCTCTGGTCAATTTCAGCAGGCGCGGCCTTGCTTTTTTCCGCATTTTCCTCCTCGGCCTCCACTTTGTACATCTCCTCAGAGCCTTCCTCGCTGTCATTCTCCTCGGACTCCGTCAGCAGCTCCTCGTCCTTATACTCGGCCACATCCACCGCAGAACCCAGGTGTTCCTTGAGCTTCCCGTGATGCTTCACATGATACCGCTGGTTCTGGAAGAACTTGATGATGGTGTGTTTGGGGAGATCCAGCTGAGCAGAAAGCGTGTGGATCGCCTCCTGATCAGGGTACAGGCCCACATCATGGATAAAGCTTTGGAGGATCCCCAGGGCTTCCAGGGAGATCTTTGTGCGAGACCGGGGCTTTTTGGCACAACTGTCTTCCGTCGGAGGAGGTGGGGGAGGAGCTTCTTCTCTGGGGGGGGAACTCTCCTTGGCTGGCTGAGACTGCTGCCTATGAAGGACCTGATAATTAAAATTAAGGAAAAAAAAATTTAACATTTGACTCAGGATTTCACCTTTCAAAAGCCATTATCTCTCTGAAGTATGTGTGGTCTATCTACCTTTGGAGTACTGCTGTTGTCATTTGTAAATTCAGGTCTTTGGCAAACTTAAAAGAATTTCTGGAGATTTAGGATCTCATTTACAAAACAAGAGGTTAATAATAGTAAGGTGTGCTGACATTTATATTCTGAGGCACAAAGAAGTTAAGACGTTTGTTGCCCAAGGTCATTTGCATTCAAACAATCTGGCTCCAGAGCCTTCCCTGCTGTTAACCAGCATGATATGCCACCTCTCTAAAGCCTAATGGCAAAGAAACTGGACTCAGTGAGAAAGTGCAGGCTCTACAATCAGACCTCATGGGTCCAAGTCCAGACTCTTCCACTTAACTGGGTGTCCCTGTACAAGGCAATAACATCTTTAAGCCTCAATTCCATCATCTAAAAGAAGAAGGATAAGACACTAACTTCCTAGAGATGTTGTAAGAATTAAGTAACATAATGTATGCAAAGAATAGTGCTTACCTTAAATCAGAGGTTGACAAACTTTTTCAGTAAAGGGCCAGATAGTAAATATTGTAGGTTTTGCAGGGCCATACAGTCTCTGTTGCAATGACAACTCTATTTTTGTAGTGTGAAAGCAGCCATAAGTAACAGATAAGCAAATGAGGGTGGCTGTGTTCCAATAAAACTTTATTTACAAAAACAGGTGGCGGATCAGATTTGGCCATGGGCCATAGTTTGTCCACCTCAAGCTTAGGGCAAACATTCAATAAATGATAGTAATTATTACCATCAGCCTCATAATTACCCTTAAGAGTGTAACAGAGAAATAGTTGGTTTTCAGTCAGAAAATCAATACTTCATAAAATTAGGAAGAACTTTCATTTATTTTCTTTCAGCCCTGATATTGATCCTTAAATAATGTTTTTAAAAAAATACAAGACTTCCAAATTAACTTAAAGATGTAACATTTTTCTTAAATGAAGAATTTTAAATGACTATTTTATACTCACACAGATGGACCTCAGTATCACTATAAACTATTAATACTCTGTTTTGCACACACTCCCTAATTTGTTTTTTAATCCTTAATTGTTCAGGTTTTCTAGTTGTTATAATTAACTTAAACTTCTCTTTTATCTCTGCATATTCCCCACTCATTAAATAGTGAAAACAGGGGTGCCTGGGTGGCTCAGTTGTTACACATCTGCCTTCGGCTCAGGTCATGATCCCAGGGTCCTGGGATTGAGCCCTGTGTCAGGCTCCCTGCTCGGCGGGAAGCCTGCTTCTCCCTCTCCCACTCCCCCTGCTTGTGTTCCCTCTCTCGCTGTCTCTCTCTCTGTGTCAAATAAATAAATAAAATCTTTTTTAAAAAATGAAAACAAAACAAAACAGAAAAAACCTCTAGTGTTCAAATAAATTTCTAGACCCAACATGGAGCTGCTCTTGCCCGGGGCGCCACGTCAGCAGACTGAACTTCTGAGTCCCTGTAAATGTGCCACTTGACCAGAAGCACAGTACTTCCCGTCGGCCAATCCCCAAACACCAAGCCAACTCTGGCTCTACAAATAAGGTCAGGTGTGCAACCCCAGACAACCATGCCCTCTTTGTGTTGCCCCTTCTAATGATCTATAAAACCTGATCTTGCCCCAAATCCTTCAGAAGTGGTGCTCCACTGTTTGTGAGGTACCATACTCTCCCAATCCCTGGATTGTTTTCCTTGAACAAAGGACACCAAACTTGTAACTAAACTGTTTTAGTTTTGTCAGTTGATCCTACTTTGGCAAGCTTATTCTTGATCTTCATAACTGCTTCTTCAACATCGTCTCTCTGCATGAAATAAGTTCCCATTTTAATAGTTATTTACGAACCTCTTCAATTTGACCAAAGAAGGAAAGCTCTACCGAGAAGACTGTCATTAACAACTTGCTCCTGCTCCAGTCATAGGCCTACATGAGATGGGCTTCATGGCGAGGAAAGAGGATTGCTGGATCCTGGAGAGGGGCCTCAGCCACTACTCACACGTTACAAAACCAGCAGCAATAGTACATAATTAAAAGGCTACGGTGACGGTCCGTAGTTAGGCGTTATGTCAACTCCAAAGACAAGGACCACATTTCCTATACTCGGATCAGTGCCTAACTTTCTGGGTCCTCCCAGAGCCTTTAAGAATAGTTGAGTTCACATTTTAT